TAGGAAATATTTCTTCTCTAATGTGATCACAAAGCACAAATTAATTGGAATTAGGCATATTGAAGTGGACGTAAAGAGATTATAATTGCAAACACTAATATATAGATATAACTCTAAGAGGTGTATCGTCTCTTTCATTTACTGCAAGTAAACAATTTTGTGTTGGGTCGCATCTTTGAGTCGTATTCTAAGCTTCATGAGCATCAGTTGACATACGATGGTGCATGGCTTGAATGTATTTTTTTTGATATAGTTTTTCCAATGATGATCAAGTCTAAACTTAAAAGTTTTTGTTGATGCTTGATTTTGATACTAACAACTTTGCACGTGTAAAGTACTAAGAAGTTACATGTGAGATGATTATAGTAAGTGGGTGAGATATTTTAAGTACAGTGACATGCAAAGACGTAAATGTAAAGCTAACAAGATAATTTTTATAGTGTTTCAGATACTTAAAGCGAATTATATATCTATTGTATTCGTTTATATAAATTTGTTCATGGTTGTTAGATAGGTTTACAAGAGGTCGCGAACTGCGATCTGGTATTACAAGTGTTTGGTGTTCTAAATGATTTTAGAGGATGTCAAACCAGTCTCTTTCTAATAATATGTCTTTGCTATTTTCTTTGTTGAATGCGTGAATGTCTGATGCTAATTTTATGAAGAAGAACTGCCTATTTATACTCGTTTAGCTCAAAGTAATGATTACACTTTTACAAGTGGCCTGATGCCATGTAGATCTCTCCTACCTTCCCATTCGCTGAGAATTCAAAGGATATCCTTAAATTAAATGAGACTTAGACGGATGTGTGAGCTAAATTCATCTAGGGACAAATTCTTGAATTGGTTGGGTTGTTTACAGCTATATTCCTATTACCTTTGGAGTCGTGGCATGTTCTAAACGGTGGACTACTTTCTTGAATTATGATTGGTGCTTAATGACGTCAGCATAGATCAACTTTTATTTTAGGCATAATTGTTTTATACGAAAATCTGAGTTGCCTTTATACGAATATATTCACCATTGAAAGTACATATGTTTAATTAGTTTAGCATATGCTCAACTATGATTAATTTATGCACAGAAATTAATTAATTTTATGTTTCCAGTACAATCAGATGCTTAACTTTCTATTTTCGCTCGTGTCCCCACTACTCCTGATTGTGAATTATTATCAATAAATAAAATTTTATTCCTCCAAGCACTTAAGAAGAAACAAATTAAGAAAAGAATTGGTATATGTTCCTCTTAAAAGAATTGGTGTTTAACATCTTTGTTGACATTAATCCGGGAACAGAAAAGTAGAATCATTGTTTCAATGTACCAGATTAAGCACACAAATTATGTGTTTGTCATTTTGTTTAGTTAATAAAACGCAATAAAATCCTTTGTCTATGTAAGATACATGTCTTTCTTCTCTCTAATGCTGAAGTAAAAATGGATTTCTGTAATGGGATTGGTATCTTATAAACCATAACTTTTAATACTACAATTCTCTTTCTTTGTTTTTGAACGTTTCGATGCAAAAAGAGAGGGCCCAGAGCTGCGAAGGGGACGGCTAGCCCTTTCGAATTCAGATAGTTCATATGGCCTCTTCGCCTTTTTAGCCAAAGTTTGTGTTTATATAAAATCGACCATTACCTCTCTCTCTCTCAAAGTAGTTGGAGGCTTAACGTATATAATTAAAAAAAAAAATTGAGATCATATGCCACCCATCAATCTTTAAGGCCCTACAATTTAATGTATTACACATCATTATCTATAAAGATGATAATTGTATGTAACCTAGATTGATTTCTGTCATTTTTGATAATTTATTATCTAAAAGACATCTAGACCGAGCTAGCTTATAAGTAACATATAAAGGCTAGCTAACTAGATAAGTTAATTAATATGGACTCAATAGTTTTGTTTTCTCTACGGATTTTTTTTTTTGTTCTCCTAAAATAATGTGTTCCACATACCTGGAAGACGCCTTTCTAATATATAGTATCTAAAATGAACTAGAAACCCCTTTTTTTTAATGCGGATCTGGGGATATTATTTTTACCTCTGCTCACTTACACAGTCATATATTATATTCCACACCACATGAAAAACTCTGAACATCTCTCCATTCTCTAACCTTGCAATGATGAAGTACACCCTCATGGATCATTGTTTCATTTCATTTTGCTTATGATGTGCAATGCTTCAAAAGATGTGACTCTCGACAGTTGCTGCACGTATTATTCAGTATGAAATAGTAATATGATTTAAATAACTATATTTAGTAGTACTATAAAGGAGATCACCCTTCGAAGCAGAAAAAGGTCAATGACTTTAGTTCCAAATCTTCTGGTTAGAAAACCTAATTCAGGTTAAACCTAACAAAACCTAAGTGGACACATAATTTTGTAGTACGAGTTGATCTGTACTGGAATGTGTGTCGAGCACTGAAAGACAGTGAAAGATATATAGGTTTATACATAAATTAAAGAAGAACAATCAATAGGTGGAGTATTACAACTAATTAATCACATTAATAACCAACCCTTTTTCTTATTATTGGAAAAGTATGTAGGTCAGATTTAGGTCTCATTACCCAGTGATTGATCACTTTATGTGACTTCATGAAGTCGGTAAGAAATATTAAGCATTATAAATCAATGATTAAACAAAATGGTCATCTCTAAATCAAATTTCAACATCTGAACATGTTTTAGTATTACGTAGAAGGTGGCATCATGCTGCGGACATGGATTCTGAATATGTCAGACTCAGTTACGAAAATGGCCACTAACAATGGTCTAAAATATTCCTCGCTGTAAATGATTCATGATTGGTAAGTACCGAAATTTAATTTATAGTTGTTTCCTTAAGTTGACTGCGTAACATTCCCTTATATATGATACTTCCAGTCGCTTCCATCACTAGGTCAACTGACCTTTCAATTGCAAAGCCTAAAGTACTGAATAAACTATGAATTTTCTCCGTTATTGAATCCTAATATCCATTAGTTTTATAGATAGTTTGATTGTATGTGTAGCAATATTATATAATTTTGGGAATAAAAATAAATAACTCTCCTTCTATCTAGAGAAAGTACTGATATTTGTCTCTAGAAGATTTTGCATCAAACGACTTGAAGTCTGAAACAATTCAAGTCGCCTTAGAGTCATTTGAAGCTTGTCTGACTGATTGGTTTTGTTTGTCTTGAGCCTGTGCGCTCCGGTCAGGCGCCTGTGCCCATGACTTTTTTCTGTTTGGTTTGAGCTTGTGAGCTCCGTTAGAGCGCCTGAACCCATCTCCCTCCTTTGTTTGGAGCCTGCGTGCTCCTTTTTGGGCGGTTGTTCCCATCATTTTGTCCAAAAAGAGGAAAGCATCTATTCTGGTCTTTTCTAGACCTCTTTTAGGGTATGCCTCTAGTTTTCTATATAATTTCTCTTCTTTTATGAAATTTAACTTTTTTTCAAAAAAAAAAAAAGTCTACAACAATTCAACCGTTTAATGAACTTTACCAAAGTAACAGTTTACTTCCTATAAAATATCATGCACATACGGAATTGAAGGAAAATTAGTATTACTTCACATGGGATAATCATGAAAATACCGAATTGAAGGAAAAGACTGCTAATTAGGAGGCAAGAATTTTGGAACAAATAGTAAGATACTGTTAAAAGATGCTTATTAAAAGGAAAGAATCTTAGAAGTAGTAAGAAACTGTTTTTTAAAATTTTGATTTTGTATTTGAAAGAAGAATAAAAGAGTAGATGAAAAAAGAAAGATTCTGATCCAAAATTGCAGGCACTATAGTGGAGGCTACTTGGCTGGTTCCTCCCGCCACACCCAAAGGACGATGTGATGCGGACTCTGGACTTGAAAGAGTTTAGTTTGGTTTTCATTTAACTCTCCGGTATTTAATGCATCGAGAATCCTTAAATTATTGGGGGAGTTAAAAAGAATTTTAGATTCATTGGATAACCCCAATTTTGACGTTTCACCATCTAGCAATCTTAATTAGTACAAAGACGAACAGTTCAATATAACCATATCAACCGATATTTTGAATCACTTAGGTTATTTGCAGCATTTAAACGAGATTTTTTTTTTTTTTTTTTTTTTTTTTTTTCAATATCTTTATAAAACCAAAACGTGGCAGCTAGCTGGCAACAATTTGATAATATTATGCTTTCTTTTCGGATCATGTAAGGAAAGTCCTTGTGATTAAGCATAAAATAAGACCATTTCCTCACATTTAATATCGATTTATTCATACTTATATATGTATTTATTTATTGAGTCATTCATTAAAAACACCACCCAATTTTTGTAATTATCATCGAAATTTTATTTTACGTGATTTACTAAGTGAAGCCTGTGTACATATCTAGTTATTCGCTCTTGTTCATCGATTTGTTACCTTGCTTTAGTGAATCATTAGTGTATAGCGTCACACATGTTTATACGACTCTAATGTTATGGAGCTTTATTATTGTACGTAGTACTTTATATCTCTCTAGATCTCTTTTATGATTTTTACTTTGTTGCTTATGTATAGATCACTCACCATCTCCATAGATGATCATTAATTAAGGTGGGTCAAAAAGGGCATGATGAAAAGTCTAGAGAAAGCCCTTCAAATCAGATGGTCAGGAACAGCTCTGTGGGTCCAATCATCGAACAAGCAGCATTAAGCCATACCATAAAAAATATCAACATGGTTGAACCAACTAAATTGATTGAGTTATGTCAATGCGAGTCAGCTATTGTTACTTGTCCTTCTAAATGTATGTTTCTTCTCTTCTTTTCTCGTTTCTCTGTTTGGGGTTGTTGTTGGTTAAAGGTATATACCACTGTTCTCACTGATCGCCACTTATATTGTATATATTACACAGTACTACTGAGTCTGAGCCCTGTTTCATTTCCATCTTAGCTCTAGAGCTCACCCTTTTCCCTCCATTCACAAAACAGATTAGACTCAATCTATATTTCCAAAATTCCGGGAATTCGATCCCATAATATCTCTATCATCTATTTGTGGATAAGATTAATACCATGTCTCAAATTTCAACCTAATCTCCATCCACTATATATATTACACGATATCGAGTTTAACAGTTTGTGCCGAAGAGTGAGTTATACAGTTTGTGTCAAAGAGTGATTCTTCATCCTAGTTATCTTTGAAGCATAGATTAGTTGCGGCAACTTTTGGTTAGCTAGCTAGTTGTGTTGATCAAATTGTGCGGTTTAATTATGGATAACTTGAAGGAAGTAGAAGGAAAAAGAATCCATGACAAGAAGATGGGCGCATCAGCAAGGTGCTTAATGGTGACTGGACCTGTCATAGTTGGTGCTGGCCCATCGGGCATGGCGACTGCTGCTTGCCTTAAAGAAAAAGGAATCCCTAGCTTGATTCTTGAAAGGGCTAATTGCATAGCTTCCTTATGGCAGCACAAAACCTATGATCGCCTTCGACTTCATCTCCCTAAGAATTTCTGTGAACTCCCTCTCATGCCATTCCCAGAAAGCTTCCCTTCTTATCCAACCAAACAGCAGTTCCTATCCTACTTAGATGATTACGCTAACCACTTTGGTTTGGAACCAGTTTTTAACACGACTGTGGTGAATGCTGAATATGACCATCGCTGTAGGTTTTGGAGAATTAAGACTTTGGGGCTCAAACAAGAAGAGACTGAGTATATAAGTCAATGGTTGATTGTTGCCACTGGAGAGAATGCAGAGGAGGTTATGCCACATATTGAAGGAACGGAAAATTTTGGAGGGCCTATTCTTCACTCTAGCTCGTACAGGTGTGGAGAAACATTTCGTGAAAAGAGCGTACTGGTAGTTGGATGTGGGAATTCAGGCATGGAGGTGTCTTTGGATCTCTGCAACTACAATGCTCGTCCAACCCTCGCCGTTAGAAATGCGGTGAGCGCACAACTCTGCAACATAAATTTCATTGAAATGACTTCTTCTCTACCAGATTTTTTAACATTCGTTTAACCTAAACTCCTCCCAAATATATCCATATATATACATGAGAGAAAAACCCATAATTATAATACCAGTAGGAAATAGTACAGTAAGATTTGAATTAAACCAAGTAGAAGTAAAGATGTTCTTTCATGCGAGATTTACAAATACTATCCTCTAAGAGTAATAATAGAGTCTACTGTATCTGTTACAGTTGAGTTGTGTTGTTGACTTTGTATTTGGGAAGTAACTCAGTCTGCTGCTTGTTACATACTTATTATAGCAAGATATTTGCAGTAAAAAATAATATCTTTTTTCACTCACTTTCTTGGAATTTGTTTGCATGCGCAACATTGGTCATCAGACTCATCACCACGAAATCGATCTTTTATGTTACAGTCAATGTTCTTTGAATAAATATTTTCTCTCTTACAGATTCTACCAGGGAAGTGAACTGGAAAATGCATACGCTGGGATATTGGGTTCACAAATAATCTCATTAAACATTTATTTTATTCAAGCTTTTGATTAAAGCAACTTTTTTCTTTTCTGTTGCAGGTGCACGTTTTGCCTCAAGAGATAATAGGGATATCAACTTTTGGATTATCTATGTCCTTGCTCAAGTGGCTGCCCGTACGCCTCGTGGATCAATTTTTACTTCTAATGTCGTGGTTTCTGCTCGGAGACACTGCTCAAATTGGACTCATTCGCCCCAAGCTTGGCCCTCTTGAACTAAAGAATTTGTTCGGCAAGACACCTGTATTAGATGTTGGAACAATAGGAAAAATCAAAAGTGGGGATTTTAAGGTTAGATTCTCCTTTATATTAATCTTCATTTTAGATGTCACATAGTCAATATCGAATCATAAACCTTAACCCACCCACCACTCTAGATTTGACTTACTATTAGTTGCTTTGTTTTTTTAGCTGAAGCGTAAGCTTGGGGTTTCATTCTTTAATATGTAGGTAATTCGACAAGGAATTAAGAGACTGAAAAAAGATAGCGTGGAGTTCATTGATGGGAAGGATGAGAAGTTCGATGCTATCATTCTAGCTACGGGTTTCAAAAGCAATGTAGTATCTTGGTTGAAGGTACTTTCTTTATATATTTTTTTATCACAGTAATCAAACAATTACAAGCAATATATAACAACTGAAAAGAGTATGTTTTCCTTTGGGTTTTCATTTTCAGGAGACCGATATGTTTTCGCTGAATAATGGGATGCCCCGGAAGCCATTTCCAAATGGATGGAAAGGCGAGAATGGGCTGTATGCGGTAGGATTTACTTACCGTGGCCTACTTGGTGCCTCTATTGTGGCAAGAAAAATTGTTGAAGATATTGAGCATGATTGGAAAGCTGAGGCCGCAAATTTCCTGGCCTTCACTCGTGCCTCTCTGCCACAATCTGAATTAGAAGCGAAAGAAATCATCAAAATTGATAGAACTTTCTACTAATAACCTACTACTAATGGACATTAATGCTAAGAAGTTTTTCCTCCTTCAGGTTTATTTGGAGGAATTTAATACCAAAAGAAAAAAGGATGGATATGCGATTAATTCCTAATTTTGATCTTTCAATACGTTTAAGGTAATAGTTTTTTGTTTTGTTTGGGCGTAGCAACTAGCAAGTGTATATCTTGTACATGGATTTTGTTTTCTAATTAATTTTCAAATTTAACTTTTACATTTGCTTGCAGACTTCATTTTTTATTAGTACAGTTAACATCAGTATAATCTAGACAGAATGTGATGATTCCATCACTATGACCTCCATAGTGATGCTAGCTAAATTTAATGGAATTAATATACACCTTGTTATTATCATGTTTCAAGTTTCCTGATATTTAAGCTCTCATAATTAAAGCTAATCTATTATTAAGTCAAGAATAATATATCTTACTAGGTAATATACCCTTTTAGGAGCCTTCCATCATAGTTCAAGAAAAAGACAACGTTACCTATTAGTTAGGAAAAGCTGAAATTAACTTTAGGTTTGAAATTTTTCCAAGAACTAATCACTATGTTATTTTGAAAATGAGAGTTGTTTAAGGAACATATAAACCTTTAAAAAGCTGGCTAGGGACCATGATATATCTTATTTTGTAGAAAAGAAAAAGTGATTCAAATCAATGATAGTAAAAAGAAAAGGAGAAAAAAAAAAAAAAAAAATTCCTACAGTCGTCCATGTACAAAGAAGTGACCCTCCTCAGGTTCTGTTTTGTCATTTGTGTATAACCTTTTTCATTAATTAATAGGATGTATACTTAAATTTGAATTAGGTGTTAGAAGCGTTTTCTTATTTGCTTAGGTTTTCCCTATCCTCATCAGTAACTTGGACCACCATTATCGTTGAGACTCCATATAATCTCCACCATAATTTGTTCCCCGTCATAGCTCGGATGGGGTCTGAACTCTGGTATATATTAAACACAACTATTGTAAAGTTGTTGAGAAACTTTATCAACACCTTGAATAGTAATACATATTTAAACGAATAGATCTTTTGACGTTTTATATAATTTAAATACAACTAAGTTGTTGATTTCAAAGATAGCTAGGTGGAGATCTTTCTTTTATATAAGCCAAAGTGGTATGTTTCTTGGCAAAATACTGAATGTAATTCTACTACGATTAATATTATCTTGTTTCCAAAGATTAAGCCATGTAATTGAATCAATGATTAAGAGATAGAGGCATTATCTTGTTTGAAACAATGATTAAGGGTTGAATTAAGAGATATTGGCAGGTTTTATTCCGACAAAAGGGTATTGATGAGAACATACAAATCAAATCTTCTGGTTTTTGAGGAACAGTGACAGTAGTAATCCCTCTGAGAGAGAGAGTACTTATCAACATCAAAGAATTTCTACTTCATAAATCCAAATCTACGAGAGGACCATCTAATAATTGCCTGGTCCATAAGATCCCCTAATTTAATTCTATCAGCTGCCGACTATTATTATTATTTTTTTTATAAAATATATTGGTGCACACTTGAAATTAATAAACAATTAATGATTATAGATAGATAATGTGACATTTAATGGTGCATTAATTTCATTTCTCTGGGGCAACTTGCTCCATTTCCCACTAAAATCATGATATTTAGGTCTTATCGCTTGTCGTGATCCTCTCGATCTTGGATATTCTAATTAATTAATTAAATCTCCTATGATTAATTTAAATTAATAAGTTTTATATGCCACAACTTTAGGGTTTTTCATTAATCAATTAATTAACTCTTACGAAGTGTAATCAATATTTCTACCTGCTTGACAGCTTCTCTAATGGTTATATTTTGATTATGGAGAAGGAGGTGTAGGGTTTGAGTTGAGTTGAGCTGGATGGATGCATGGTCCAGTAGGCACGTGATAGCCACGACGACAATACAAGACACAACCCAGGAGCAGCTTTCCATATAATGTACGTACACTAGGGGCACATGCGCTCTCATGGTTTTGCATTTGGACTTGGACCATGAGTTTTGATTGATTTATTTACTGCTTTTCTTGTAGGGGAGGGGGTGGTCCAATCCAATTTTATTTGGACCATTAGTTTTAAATGTATATTAATTATACCAATTCAATCATCATGTATCAATATGCACTATATTACAAATATTACTCATCTATCTTTTGAAAATGATATATTTCTTTGACAATCACCCTTAATCATTACGCTTACCTGTAACAATTATTTTTGCATCAATGCCAACTCTAGTAGATACAATTGTATGTCAATTGTCTCCTGACGGCTCAGATAAAAAAAAATCTCTCCTCTTTCTTTTTTCTTTTTCAACCACTACTAGGTAATTAAACTCTATATAAATTTGCCTTTATATATATAGGCAAAAGAAAGTCTCAGAAGATCATGGGAGTTAGCTAGATTTAACAATGACTCCAAGTCGAAATTTGTGAGCATATATAAGAATTCTTAAACTCTCCTACACTTGTGTAACCATTTGATCAGAACTGTTGGCTAAAACTCTAATAGATTATCACTCAACAAAATGAGATGCCAAACACATGCATTGCATTAATCATCACCAATTTAAACCCGAAAACTTAAATTCATGAGTTGATTATATATAAATTGTATTTATATACACTCTTTTGTTATTAATTAAGTTGTTTTCCTAACATATCGAGATATAATCCAGGTAGTAATACTAGGAATTAAGCCTGTTAATATTATAGATTAATTATCAGTATCAAAGCCTGTCTATATCCAAGAAGAACACGAATTCTCATAATACTTAATCCAAAGATATTTAAACTAGTAAATAAAACTTGGTTGATTTGGCGCATTTGATCCCTAGAGTCAGAGGAGGAACCTATGAGGATGAGCATGCGGTGATATATGTACATAATAAGTAAGTTTTGGGAGACGATGATGGTGAGTCTGGAAATATGAAAGGGCCAAGACAAGCAGGCGCGCGCTACCGTGAATGGAGAACATGACTACAACTCCATCAAGTTGTCTCGTCAGCAGAGAAGAGCATAATATTTGTATGATTTGATGATCGATCAAAGAGTAATGAGTGAGGAATGTTCGAGATTCACTTAAAATTCCACATGGGACCACCACTTTCATACTTCTTGTCTTGTTCAATCATAAGCTCATCCCTCATTTCCTGGAATTCTTAATCTCATTTATATTAAGTGAACTTCCACTTTCTCTATACACCTTTTCCTAATTTTATTACAAAGACAAAATAACACCTCGTTAATTTTGTTGATACTTGATTTTTAACACCAATTACTTGTACGTGTAAAGTGTTAAGCTGATTTAGAAATTACACGTGAATGGGAAATGAAGTAAATAAATGATAAATGATTTTTAAAGTGGTTCGGATATTCAAAGTAAATCTTACGTCCACTGTTCTTTTATTATTCTCTGACTATCTCTATGATATTGCTCGTAAAGCATACAAAGATGGAGAAATATTTTGTTTACAAAGAAAAATAATGAAGCTCAAATCTATGTCCAACTCTCATTTGTCGAGCCTCCTCTTTTCGTGAAGAGATGTGCCCATTTATACCTTTTGAGATCAATGTAATGAGTGCTTTTGCAAATTGTCATGACACCTGAGGACCACTCCTAAATCCTTATCTTAAAATGGGATAGGATTGATATAAAGTATCTCTTAGAGGCACTTTGGGTTGATGACAGCTAATACTACCTTATCTTTTGGGACGACGTGGCAGCTCCTAGACAGCACAAAACCTTCCTGAACTCTTATTGATGGTACTGACATCAGTGTGATTTTTGGTACAACAAACACCCCCCCCCCCCCCCCAGTTTTTGGAGTGCGTAATTGTACTTCAAAAACTCATGTCTTAGATTTAAATGGCTGTCGCACTATAGGCTGCAGTCTTGAACTAAAGAGCTCAAACTATGCCTAGCGTGATCGGGTGCTGAGAGCTAGGACTGCGATTTGAGCGCTTGGAGCAATTCGAAACTAAGCGTGATCTGATAACTAACATGAAATGTCCAGTAGATGAATTCCTAGAGAGGGCTGACGTCAGAAGCCCAAACGCACGACTTATAGGCCTTAAACGGATAAGCCAACTTAAAATAGCCATAACTTTTGATTCGGGAGGAGTTTTAGAGCCCGTAATATATCCACGGGAACCTGGTTGAGACCATTTTCGAGGTCAAAATCCATGGTTTCGGTATGGTTTGGGACTGTTTTTAGTTTTTTACGCGTTTTTTTTACGCTGGCAGCTGGTCGTGATATGAGAACTGATCACGATCTGAGAGTTGAGAACACGACTTAAGGTTGTTCGCAATCTCAAGGCTAACAGCTGATCGTGATTTGAGAATTAGGAGCTGATTGCGATCTGATAGGGGCTCGACCTGAGAGTCTGAGGCGTACGATTTGAACAATCTAATGAACGCGATCTCAAGCAAACGAGCGAGCTTATGAGCTCAATTAGAGAGCATAAGGAGCTCGATCAGAGAGTATAAAGAGCTCGATCAGAGATTATAAGGAGCTCGATCAAAGAGCATAAGGAGCTCGATCTGAGATCATAAGGAGCTCGATCAGAGAGCATGAAGAGCTCGATCAGAGAGTATAAGGAGCTCGATTTGAGATCACAAAGAGCTTGATCTGAGAGCATGAAGAGCTCTTTGCGATCTAAGAGTTTAAGGAGTTCAATCTAAAAACAGAAGGAGTTCGATTAGAAAGCGCAAAGCTTGATATGAGAACACAAGAAGTTTGGTAAAGAGCGCGAAGCTTGATCTGAGAACAGAAAGAGTTTGATTAGAAAGCATGAAGCTTGATTTGAGAACAAAAGGAGTTCGATCAGAAAGCGCGAAGCTTGATTTGAGAACAGAAGGAGTTCGATTAGAAAGCACGAAGCTTGATCTGAGAACATAAAGAGTTCGATCAGAAAGCGTGAGGCTTGATCTGAGAACACAAGATCAGCGATCTAAATGATTTGAACGCTTTA